ATGCCGTAATGAACAAAAAAGGCAGCTTTTACAATTCTTCATTTAACTTTATAGCCCCTTGAGAACATTTTGAATACCCTTTGAATGTCAACCATGTTGTCCGGGCTCCCGAAAATTGGGGATAAGCCTTGCACTGCTTATTACAGTGGGTAATGAGCCATCGGTTTTGTCAAGGCGAAATGCAGCCACAGGGGTCGCTCGCATCGGACAGCATAGTCGTACTCCTCTTCCATTCTGGCATGACCTTGCCAGATGCCATGCTGTTCCTATTATTTGTAAGTCGTCGATTTACTACCCGTTTCTCAACTCGTTACATCGAAACAACGTGAGGTTAATTCCCTGTTCAAGGGAATTCACGGATGCGATACAGAATTCGAAAGAGATTCGTTTGGAATGCAAGCCGACCTCTTTCCACTGCTCACCACGCCTCAAAACGGAAAGTGCGCTTTCTCGCTGAATATGCTGTCTGATCGTGTCTGAAACTCAATTTTGATGTTCAGCTCTTAAGGTAATACGACGGCCCTTCCCTCGTTAAAAGGCACTTTGTCTCATGGATTATGTGACAAACTATTTGAAGCCTATAGTCTGGAATTTAACTCATGACTTCTGAAGTAGTAATGAAGTAGTAGAAATTGGATGCTTCCTAAATTTTGACTGCTTTAATCCTATGTTCCATCCTTCGATTAGCAGCGATGGCTAACGATCATTTCATTTAAGCCTATTCATAGGTCGTGTCAGATCATTCGATTGAACGTTGGGTCTCAGTAGACTGATCATGGGTTTGAATCCTGACAGGGTCGCTCGCTCTTCATCATTTTATGTAGATAAATGAGTTCTATTAGGTGGCAAAAAGAGGAAACGATATACTGTGCTTTACTGCTACTAAGGGTTCTCACAATACATTAACGTAATGCAATATAACAACGGTTTACTTACATGAAACATAATTCGTGCTATGCTTCGAATAATAGATCAATACTGATATACTCCCTTTGGCTCCAAACTAACCAGGTGCTACAGACTACCTACATACCAATCGTAGACTGGCACCTTCTTTGAACGTAAGAAGATTCATGATAAACAAGCCAAAAGGTGAGCATTGAGTTACTAATCGATAGATCAAGGGTTTAGCAGCAGGATAGTTACCTAGGAAACTGAGGATACCCCATCTATCGATTATGAGAGTGTACGACAGGCATCCCGTGGTTAGCCAGTTCTATTCCAATTCTGTTACCATTTGTTTTTCAACTATGATACCAGGATCGTTTGGAGGGAAAATGGTCGAACCTCCTGCAGAATAAACAGGCGATATGATAAAATTTTTGGGTAATTACGAAATCCTTGCAGTGTTCAGGTCGCTCATCAGGGGATGAACCCCTTTCGCTGAGGCGCTTTTTCAACCAGACAACTTCGACCAAAAACTGCCATTGAGAAGACCATAAGAGACTCATGGCAAACCTGTTGCACAACATCGTCCGTAGTTTATCCCGCCACAAATGAGCCGCGTTCTTGAGATCTGCTGGTCATTTGCTGACCAAACGAGCATCGCGAGTTGTCTGCTCAGTTACTCTGTGAAAAGGGAAGATTGCCATGTTTTGTCACCACTGCAAGAAATAGCCACCACACAAAGAGAGAGTGCAATGCACTCATGTTATTGATTCCACACAATTAGTATGGTCGAGAGAACATTTGAAAAATCAAAAGCGATGGATTTTACTGAATATTTCTGATTCATTTCCATTTCCGGGAACGAACAAACGGGAAGAGTAGAACGACGAAGTGCCACGTGTTGTCTAACCATTAGAGAATAAATGAGAAGAGACAATTGCAAACTGTCAGCAGAGAGGGCGACGTGTTTTAAATTCATTTTTTTCAAGTAAAAAGGCAAAATTTCTAACTTCCCGATCAATTTCATTATGGTCTACTGAAGTCAGGCATATATGTTCACTTTATTCCTGGTTTCCTTAACAAATCAAAGAAATTAAGTCTTTGCCCACCTTTTAGGTCATCTTTTGAGTTCCACTCAAACCGATTGAGGTTTTCTGAGGATTTGTAATGAGTGACGCCGTTCTTCTGTGCTGTTAGTTGGAGGTTTTCATTACTGGCACTCACAAACAATGCTGACTTTTGTTTCTGGTCCCGTGGCATATCGCTGCTTGAGCTTCGTTTCCTGAGAACAACCTGGTTCAGGAGCCTCAGGAGGGCAGAGGAATGCGGCAACGGCATCTGAGGCGGTGAACTCTGTACAGACAGCGCTTTTAACTTCGGTGACTTCTGGACGTCGTTTCCAGAGCTTGAAACCGAACGAACATCTAACGGCTTCAAGCGTTTTCTACTGTCTTGGCGAGACCTGAAATATGAAGATTTGGTGAGTAGAAATGCGTAAGCACTGAATAACCGGCAGAAGATACTGTTACCTTTTCAAATATAGGTGGATGACAGCAAGAAGAGGCAAATTTTCTCCCCCCCCCCAAGGTGATACACCGTTCCGTGGTTCAGAGGAGAGATTGCTGGAGAAACGGTGGTTGTGCTCAAGCTAAGCGAAGACAACTTGGAGCTGGCCATGCATGACACTGTTATAACCTGAAACCCCGTTAGACCGAAGGGAAATGCGGATGGGCGTTCTAGACAAGAGGCCCGGCAACCTTGGACAGTAGCAAGTGCTTTCTCTCGAAATCAGCGTTTTAACTGAGGCCATGCGGACGCAACGATGAACATGGGGGGGGCAGATCAGCGATTAATTTAAAGTTTCTATAGAATTGAACGACTGATGAAAGATTCTCGTCACTTATTGATTGTAAAGACGATGTATCAGTAGAAAAGACTTGTACAGACACAGATGCAATAATAACGTAGCCAAACGAGCAACTGGAACGGAGGGAAAGAGGAAGGAAGCAGCAAATAAGTTTCGAGAGTAAACGGTTGTAAAAAATAGCAGCCTTGCCAAGACTGAGAACAGAGGAAGTTCCGTAACAAAAGTACAGACAAAAATTAAAGAATCAATACGGACAGATACCGCACTTTTTTGAAGGAGACAGATTAAAATGTGGAAAATGCGGTCTCAAAGAAACAATGAAGGCACTGTTCACGAAATCCCACCGACAAAAAAGAGGCATCGCCAAAGAGGACGATGATCTGACGTCCGTCGTAGAGAAATATTCGCGATATCGGGGGGACAGTTTGAATCGCTGCTAAACGCGATCCTGACGCGATTGTCAACTGAATGATATTATACCTGGACAAAAGATGGATGCTGATGCTGGAACGCTGACCATTGAACAATGACTGAAACCTTAAACCATCTAAATCATGACACAGCTGCATGAATTAATGAAATACAACCAGAACTATTTAAGAGGTCTGGAAAAATGAGGGTACTGGCTTTATTGAATCTCCTTGGATTAGCATGGCAGAATGAGGAGATGCAGAATAACTGGATGAAGGATACTGCGGTGGCAGTATCTTAGAATGGCTGTATTTAGGATTCAAATGACTACCGTGGAGTAAGCCCACTGTTTGTTCCTGCTAAGTATTCATGCGTACTATGGCGAACACGATTAAACAACATATTTAGAAGATCGTGCGTGAAGAGCAGTCCGGAATCAAGGCAGGGAGATGTTGCCTGGAATAAGTATTCACAGTCAGAGAGGTAGTAGAAATGAAAGA